CTCCAAGAAACCCAGACCCAAAGCTATAAGGATGGCATTATTTAGAACAGTGGTCTCCAACCTTGGCAACTTTTAAGACTTGTGGACTTCAACTCCCAGAGTTCCTCAGCCAGCTTTGCTGGCTGGGGAATTCTGGGAGTTGAAGTCCGGACATCTTCAAGTTGCCAAGCTTGAGAAACCCTGGTTTAAACTAGGGTTGTGATGGTCCCATCCCCATCTCTATTCATCTTACTTTTTCTACAAATGATTATTTCTTTAGTGGGCCCCTCCCATTATTTTCTTTTGTTTGTTTGTTTGTTTTGCTCCCCCAGCTACTTCCCATGTGCCTCCTGTGCATACTTCTAAGGTTTCTTTTGGAGGATTTTGGATCCGATGCTTCTATCTATCCCGCAGGTCATATAGCATCCTTGACTTCAGCATATATAAAACCATCTCTTAATTCTCTCCATTAGAACAAGGTAGTTGAGATAGGAGGAAGATGCCTGGATAAGGGGTGGGTTACTGGTCTGATCAGGAGTTGAAGGTGAGTGAGCTGCTGTTGTGTTAAAAAAAAACCTGGTCTTTTGACTTTTCTTTGTTTAATACATTGTGAAATTGGGAGAAAGTAATGTGGGCTAGACCTTCTACCCATCATCAGACATAACTGTATTTTCCTGTGTCTCTAAATGGTTATAATGATAAAAGATACTGGAATCGCAGTTCTTTAACAAGGGCAAATATTCTAAGCCTGCAACTTGGTAAATGATTGGGTTTTATAATTAAAAAAATCCACAATACTGAAGGTTACCAAACCCAACTTTATATACAGCCTGTAAACTGAATAACTAAAAGAAGCCCGTTAATAGGTTCAAAACTTGCCTAAAAGAATTATTTAACCGATTTATTTTATTTTGAATTGTCTCAGAAAGAGAAGGCGATCTTGTGCTGGCCTTGCTTTCATTGGGCTCTGATGTCTATTAAATTGAAATGCAAATTGCTGTCTGAGAGATAGTAACTTACACCAATTTCTTCTTTAATAAGGTGGTCCTTCATAAGATTTTTGAATATTTTTATTGAGACAGTTTTAAGGAAAAGATCCTAATCTAAGCCATTGCAATCATTAGTGTTAATTATATTTGTTCCATGACATTATCCCCCAAAGCTCAAGGCAGTGTAAACATTATTTCCCTATTCACCTTTGTTCTCTTAATAACTTTGGAAGGTTATACTGACGGACTGCCCCAAAGTCATTTAGTAATTTTTTTATAGTTGAGTACTGATTTTAATCTATACGTCTCTAGTTTTAGACAGGCATTTTTTCTATAAAAATAGTTTTAGATGTCAAACATATATATATATCTGCTAGTATTCTGTTTGGAAAAAAAATGATTTCTTAATTTATCGCAAGGAAGTTGCATAAGAAAGAGGATGAATTCGTGATTAAGCTTCCTTTCTGCAAAACATATTCTCTGCAAGAAAAAAATAGTTAAGTCAGCTGTTATCCTTGGCATGATGTAAGTTATCCAAGGACAGCTTTCCAGGAACTTTAGTTTGCTTGTGGAAGGTCTAAATTCTTCCTGAAAATTCCCTTCAGAAAAACATAGGTAGCATGTCAAAATAAATGAAATCAGAGTACATTTTATACTGAAAAAACAGAGATGCAGCTCAAATTATTCTGACTTAATTATATTAATTGCACAATATTAATGAACTTTTTAATATTTAAAGATTTTTATGTCAATTATTTTTCTGCACATGAAAATAGATGTTTTATCCTCAATCTCTATTAGTTCTCCCTTTTTCTTATTCTACTTCATGCCATTTTTAAAATCTACTGTTTTCTGCTCTAGAAATTCAACTTTGGTTCCTTTCTTCTGCTTGAAATTCTTTTGACTTTATTCTTATGCCTTGTTCCATCTCTGCTCTGTCCATTTTTTATATTCCTCATCAATCTAGCTGAAAACTGATTCATATTCCATGCTAAGCCATAGTTGGATTCCTATTATGGAATCCACTTGGTACTTCTGTATTGGGGGGGGGGGAGCAAAATGAGTCATGATATAGGTATTTTCTCACCACATTACTCTCTTAAGGAGAATGAATTGGTTTTTTGTTAAAATTTGTTGTTCCTAGAGGATGTGGCAAAGAACTGCAAATTGTAAGTACTTGGACCCCCCCCCCCAGAGTATCATCAGGACAAGGGTGTGACTTTATTTTGTTTACGACTATTGTGAAGAAAGCGAGGAAGAAAAGCTGACCTTGAATAAGGTAACACCCTAGATCTAGGGTAGATGGAATTAATAGCATTAGGAGATTTGTAACTAATCCACTTTTTCAACTTTAATTTAATACTGTAGAGTTGAAAGGAGAGAAGTTAATTTGATTAAGAGAAGGCTTATTTCTCTCGCGTATTCTCATTTGTCATTGTTGTTCTGAAGCAATTGTGATGGAATTTGACTTGTAAATAAATGTTCAAACATAAATCTTCAAAAAATAAATGCAGACAAACCCAAACATTATAAGATGAAAACATGAATTTCTTTGCATAAAGGTAGCTTTACTGCATCAATGTTTATTTCTTTACCAGAGCAGAAAAAACAAGGTTTTTTTTTAAGATAGTCATTTTAATTAAGGGTTTATTTAATTCTGCCTTTGCCTTTAGATAACTTCTAGAGTACATTTTATGTCTGGAGTTTAAATCAGAGCAGAGAAAGTCCTAAAAATGATTGTAAATGAAAGTGAAATGCATGCATTGATATAAAACATAGTGTACCGTAGATATCTTGTAGATTGAATTGTTGTGTCTTCTACACATATTTAATAGGCTTATATTAAGTTTTTACAATTAGGAATTAATTTTACTTCAAATGACAGTTGAAGGAACATAGAAGAATAGACCTCACTGAATAATAGATTAGTAGAAACATGGGTTACAAATTTGTGCAAATAGTTATAGTTTTTCCTTTTTAATATTTTTTAAATTATTTTAAAATCTTTTTCTATTTGGAAGAAAGACATATGAGTAGATAGTCATATGTTTTGATTTTTATATGTGTTTGCCATATGTTTTAGGCAGTTTTGTTCAAATCATAGGCTTTTCATAGGATGAAATGAAAATATCAGAATCTTTGTCAGCAAGAATAGTGCTTAATTTTAACAAAATGAAGTAATTGAATTAGCATTTAACCTTCAGTATTTCCCTTGAAAGTGAAGAGATTAATTTCCAAGAGCAGAAAAATAAAGCACAATTAAGAACTTGGGAACTATGTAGATTGTAGTACCTAGCCGATAGCGGTTAATCTGAAAAAGTAAACACGGTTGGACTGAGATTGTAGTAGGTAGGA